TACTGGGATTATTTTTGAAGTTTATCATATTTTCACAAGTATTTTGAAATTATTTGATTTCAGAAGTGACATTAGACATTTTTACAATTGGATTCCACTTATTAAATTATTGCAATTAAGACAAATTATTAGTGGCCCAATGAAGTTTTTTTAGAAAGCATCTCATAATATATTAAATGAGTTTATTTACTGGCTATAGTGTAAGAAAAAGGAAATGAGATTTGAAATAAATATTAACTCAGAATGGTGAAGAGGGCTTATTTCCCCACCTCAAACTGTAGTTTAAAAGTATGACATTTAAATCCATCATTGCAATTTACTGGAAGAATAGCTATACTTTTTTAAATTTTCAAAATATTATTATAAAATACTCAATTTTTGTTGAACTTTCCTCTTAATCATTATCAATGCCTCAAAAGCCTTCTTGAGAGTCAGAAGTACACGCAAAACCACCGTCTTCTTCCTGGCTTCAGTGTCACAGCTGATAAAGCCCCTCTCAGCACATCTGCCCTCCAAATTATCTGGGACTGGTCCCGACTAGTGAAAATCCTTTCGTTGTACAGTGTTCCTCATACCAAATATGTGATCTCGTTTTTTAAATGCCTTTATACTTCATTTACAACAGGGTAATATAACGTCATACTCTCTGATGCACCTATTTCTCTCCTAGAAATACTCCCAACAAAAACACATACTTATGTTTATCAAAAGACACATGTTCTAGAATGTTCAAAGGAGCATTGTGAACAACAGCCCTGTACTAAAAAGGACCTAAATGCTCACCAACAATAGAATGAATAAATAAGCCATAACATATCAACTCAATAGCATGCTACACATTAACTACAATAAATCGTCTTCAACAATGTGGATGAGTTTCTCGTTGCAATGCATAATGAAGAAGACTTAAACAAATAGGTATATACTATATAATCCCACTGACATAAATTTAAAAAAGAAAAAAAAAACTCCTACACATTGTAAGAAGTCAGGACAGTGGTTACCCTAGTATGAAAAGACAGTGATTAGAAAGGAACACAAAGGAGGGTTATGAAGTGTTAGGTTCTTGAATTTTTGCACTGAACTTTACATTCATGAAAGATACACTCTTGTGTATAAGGACTGTCATAAAAAGTTTAAAACAGATCATCCATACCTTTGAAGAAGTTTAGCAGATTATATATAAAAAGATACGTCACAAATCTTTTTTTCCAGATTTTATTGGTTCCAGCTGTATCTTAAAACAATGCTCCATAATTTCAGTCCTACACATTCACACACATACACACACACACACACACACACACACACACAGATGTAAAACTGTTGAAACCTGAGTAGCCTTAGTGAACTGTATAAATGTTAATATATTAGTTGAAATTATACTTCAGTTACCACTGAGGGAACTGGAGAAAGGATACAAAGAACTCCTCTTATATTTTACAATTACATATGAATCAATCATTACCTTAATAAAAATGTTTCAATATAATAGAGAGCTGAAGAAACACAAGAAAAGATATTAACTTCCAAAAGTCAAACCCTATTGCAGGTGGACTTTATCAGAATATCTGAGGGGTCAGAGAAGCCTATACTTTTGACAAGTCTCAAATAAATTACAATTAAGAAAAGATAGCTAATAAATATGCTAATATTTCAGCAATATTTCAATCAGGATAATTTGAGCACAAGCTTATAGATTAAGCTAGCCATTTCAGTTTAAAGGTGGCCTGACTTCCCTGTGTTTAAAGAAATCAATATTTGTTGACTGTATTTTAAGTCTACTTAGAGTAAAAAATACTTGGGAATAAATTCAAGATGTGTGTACTAAGACGCTCCAAAAAAACCAATGAAAGAAATTAAAGAAGACCAAATAAATGTAAACAAATAACATATACTTAGATTATGATGACAATATTCCCAGGTTGAACAGATTTGAAACAATTTATATCAAAATTGTAGCTGCCTTTTCTTGCAGAAATAGACAAACTAATTCTAAAGTGCATGTAGAAATATAAGGGATTCAAAATAGCCAAAACCATCTTTAAAAAGAAGGCAGACTAGAAAAACTTACACTTCCTAATTTCAAAACTTACTATAAAATTAGAGTAATCAAGACAGTGTAATACTGGCATGAGACAGGACATATTAATAAATGTAATGAAATTCAGAGTTTAAAAGTAAGCTCATAATATGGTCAGTCCCAGAAAGGGTACCAAAACAATTAAACAGAGAAATAATATTTTTTTTCAAAAAATGGGACCAGGATAACACACTAACCTGATAGACTGAAACCTCATCATGCTATGGTTATACATTGTCATAAGCTGCATGGAAAAGAATAAAATTTGGTCCTTACTTTTTATCACTGACAAAAAATTAACTTAAATGGGACCTCTAGGTATTCCCCTGCTGGGTATCTTCCCAAAAGAATTAAAAGAATCATATCACAGTGATATATGTGCACCCATGTTCACAGCAGCACAGTTTGTAACAGCTAAAGCTTGGAAACAGCCCAAGTGCCCATCAACTGGAAACAGGATAAAGAAGATGTGGTTTTTTTATAAAATGGAATACTACTCAGCCATAAAGAATGAGAAACTAGAGACATTTATAGCTAAATGGATGCATATTGAGGCCATAGTCTTAGAGGAAATAAATAGGACACATGTGTAAATACCGAATAGTTTCTCTAGTGTGAGGAACTGAAAGTGTAAATAAGGCTGAAAATGATTAAAATGAATAATTGATCATTTGAAATAGGAAGAAGAGGTCCGTGGGTAGGGATGGTAGGAGGGGAAGGGGAAAGGAAAGAAGGGAAAGGAAAAATTATGAGAAAAAAATATGGAAATGAAGTCTATGTAAATAGGGAAGTGTGGAGGGGGTGAAGGGTGCACAGGTAATGGGGAAAAAATAAGAACCAAGATACATCATGTATAGGTACAAGCACCCAATGATAAATGTAAACATATTGTATACCTACAATGTACCAATAAAAGAATTTAAGGAAAAAAATTAACTCAAAATGAAACATACCTAAATTAAAGTTAAAATTATGAAACTCTTAGAAGAAAACAGAGGTGTAAACATTTGTGATCTTGGATTAAGGTAATAGTTTCCTAGATATGATACCAAAACACAAGCAACTAAAGGATAAATATATTGGACTTCATTCCTTAGCATTTAAACCTTTTGTTCTTCAGAGAACACTAATATAAAAAAGTTAGACAATATGTTTGATAAGGATATGTAGAAACTGGAAAACTGCTAGACTGCTAGTGGAATATAAAATAGGGCAGTAACTTTGGAAGACAGTTTGATACTATTTCGAAAAGTAAAATACGGGTTGGGGATTTAGCTCAGTGATGCCACCACCTGCCTTGCAAGCACAAGGTCCCGAGTTCAATCCCCAGTACCCCCAAAAATAAAAGTAAAGTAAAATACTGAACAGAATTTCCATGCAATTGAGCAATGCCACTCCCGGGTATATATCCAAACTAGTTAGGAATATATTCATGTTAAAATTGTACACAAATGGTGATTTTCTTAAGAGGAAAATATTTAAACAAATGAAATACCCACTAATTGATGAGTAGATAAACAAAATATGGTATATCCATACAATGGGATATTATTCAGTCATAGAAAGACTGAAGTACTGGGAGCTGCTGCCGCATAGATGAACTTCAAAAACATGAAACCAGGATTTAAAAGTCAATCACAAAAGACTGAATGATGTTTTATTTTATTTCATTTATAGAAAACATTCAAAGTAAACAATTTCATAAAAATATAAGGTAGATTGTGGTTGGCAAGGGATGAAGAAAGGGAATGTGGGAATTGACTATGAGTAAGTATAAAGGTCTTCATGGGAGCAATAAAACTTTTCTAAAATTAGATTTTGGTGAAGATGCAGAACTCAGCAAATCTACTAAAGCTCAAACCACAAGCTGATTTTTAAATCTACCTGGAATTCTCTAGTATAAATTGTTTATATTACAATCATTTTCAAATCAAATCTCTACTCTTGATGTATAATGATAAGTTGAATTGTTTTCTCATGTGGGAAATAATCTATCTCCACAGTCAGTACTTAATTCTTGGCCAAAGGAATTGTTTTCCACATATTTGCTTTGAAAACAAGAGGGGTAGTTTGATATTGTGACATGTCAAGTTAGTAGTAAAGGACTAGTCAAGGAAAGTGTTTCCTCTTCCTCCAATGAATCTGTAGACTCTTAACTGATGTGTGATTTGAAGAAATGAGCCCAGATCAGACTTCAGGCCTTTCGCCGTCTCTCACTGTGTGAACTTGGGCTTGTCCATTTTCTCTCTCCTTTTGTTTTCCTGTTTGACCACTGAATATCCATACCTGCCGAATACATACATAGGATTTTGAAGAGAACCAAACAGATAAAAGATGTCAAGGCATTTTGAAATTGATGGTGCTCTAAAAATAAAGCATTATGTATTTGATATCCTTCATGTTTCTTCTTCACATTTGATTTTCAAAGAAGGAGAAACAAGGAGAAAAGTTAGATAATTTCTTTTGGGTATTGATTGAGAAGGACTGGGTTTTCTTCCTGAGGAAGAATGTTCCACAGACTCCAAATCCTGTCCTTGTGTGACATTAACAGGCTTTTATAAAAACGGTTATGATTTGTTTAATGCCCCATTCTGGCAGCATAAAAATGAGATGGCACCACACAGGTGATTGTCAATTAAACAGGAGCTGTCAGAAAGTCAGAAATGTTGAAATATCGTGAGAGTGAATCCTAAGCACATCATATGGCAGCTGCTCAGCTGTTATTTGAACAGAGTCACTGTATGTATGTGTCATTTTCCTGCAGAATTTAATTTGAGTCCCCAACAACCAGGCATCGCTGCATTTGCATGTTGCTGTCAAGTCAAACCTGGACCTTCTAAATGAGCTAGAATGGTGGGTGGCATTTGGAGGGTGACAAGTGGAGGACATGGCTCTTGTCTCATTCTCCCTCACTCAGGATACATTGAAGAGGCCTGCATCATCCCCTGCCCCTCAGACTGCAAGCTCAGCGAGTGGTCCAATTGGTCCCGCTGCAGTAAGTCCTGTGGTAGTGGTGTGAAGGTGCGGTCTAAATGGCTTCGTGAAAAACCATACAATGGAGGAAGGCCCTGCCCCAAACTGGACCATGTTAATCAGGTATGTTCTTAACCTGGAGAGTGTTATGATGTTGAGATTTATTACTTCTCAAAAGTGGACAATAAATAAACACTCCTGAATAAGAAATGTGATGTTTTATCTTCAGAGTGTTTGAGTAAATTACATGGATGTTATTAAAATCTCAAATTACATATATTATCCCTGAAATCTCTGGAAATTCAGCACCCTCCAAGTGTACAAATATGAACATAATTCAATGGAGATAAATGGCAGTTATCTTTGAAATGATGTCAACATATTTAATCTGTCACAAAATTGTATCTAACTTGTTCAATAAGATTGTATCATTCTTATAGTTTCCCTAGACTCTCAGAAGAGTATATCCTAGTTATCAACTGCGTAAAATGAAAGAAAGTATATGGCTGTGTATCTGAAATTGGGAAAAATATGTACTATTTATTCATTTAAATTATTTGATGTAAAATAAATTGAGGAATAACAAATATAAAGAGGGATTCCAAGTCACTATGTGTGCACTATCAATTTAGTCATTGGTGCTTTTAAATTTTGTTTGGACCTTTATTAGAATGTGGATGCATAACTCATTAGTTGTTGTCAATACTCATTACGTGTAATCTTTGGAGATAGGAAGTAGACAGACCAATGGGAGAATTGACTAATTTAAGTGTAATATATTTATCAATTATGTTTTTACCTATATGTGAATTAACAAAGAATGAATTTTATATAGTATGTGCAGATATATGAATTTAGGTTACAAATGAACACTCAAATGAATACATAGAAACATTTTGTATTGTCTAATTTGAAACTGCAGACACTGCTTACCAGAACACATATTTTCCTTCCAAAATTAGCCTAAATTTATTCATAACAACAAAAGCACATTATAGAGAAAGCAGAAACAAATTCTGAATAAACAAAGGACAGCAGTAGAGAACTGAGTTCTATAGAAATTGTTTTCAAAGACTCTTGACTTGCCCCAGGTTTCTGAATTTATTCTTTAAAAGCACCTGGATGTGAATAATGTATACCCCTGCTGCCATCTACTGGTGGTCAGGTTTCCTTGTCATGGAGCATTTTACATTTCTGAAACACTAGTTACTTCCAAAGAAGAAAATTCAATTTCATGACTCTAATTATACAAATATGGCATAGAATAACTGAAGTGGAGTATTTGTGATAAAATGAATGGTTCTTGATGAGTTTTGAAACCTCCAATTGTCAATAGAAAAATTTAATTTTCAGTAAATTATGATCCAGTCCTAGTAAACAAAAACTGTTCTCACACTCATACCCATTTCATGTTAGTGTAGATGTGTGTTTTTGTAAGATACTCATATTTACAATTTAAATAAGCTATGTTTTCCCTCCACATTTTCTTTAACAATGAATTCCAAAGGTCCAGGAACTTGTGCAAAGTTATCTTTGCTATGAAAAGTCTGTAGCCTAAAACTAATTTGTTGTCATTTCCCATTTGTGCAGAATTTGATAGGGATGTTTATGTACTTTTTTTCAGCTTGCTGGAAGTACACCTGAAGATCAGTAGCTAAAAATGTACAAGTCTAAATTAAGAAATAAGAGATTTTTAATAGCTGGAGGAAAGGGAAAATATCTTAGAATGAAGCTTTTCCTTATGGTGATGTTTTAATTATAGATTAAAAAGATAGAAGGAAATTGCAGTGGATTAAGTATATCACCTTCATATTTACATTTCAATAAATTATCATTGTAATTTAAGAAGAGATGATTTATTTTATGTAAACATGGCAAAGCAAGGTGTAGAAGCTCAACTAAGGCTTATTACTGTGCACAAGAGTAAATACCTATCTATTTCTTTTTCTTTTTCAATATAAAGCTTACTGAATGTACAAGAAAAATTTATCACTTAGGATACAGACTTTTTTAGGGGTTGGGGGAGTCTCTGTCAGGAAATTGTTACCTATAGACAAAGATTCTCTTGATTTGATCTAAAAAATAAAACCACAAAACTATTCTTCGACTAAAATGGAAAAACAAAATGGCTACTGTTTTAAAAATGATAGAAATATATTGTTGACAGGATATGAGTTACTTCTACAAACTGTAATTGATGACGTGGATCATATCTTCATGTTTCTGATATGTAATCTGTACACGAGGGGAGGGGATAGTAAATAGTATTTCTAACCAAGACAAAAAAAAAACATTTAACTTTGAGCAAAAATATTCTACATAAAAATATAGATTTTAGGGATTTATATATTAGCAAAATAGGAAAAGTAAAGAATAGGCAAAGTTTTGTATTAACATAGAAAATTGTAAATCATATAGATTTTTACTACAGTTATGCACTCCTCAAATAAAAGGAAATTCATTGTCTTGAAAATGATGAAGTTTCATTTTCCAATTGAGGAAGCAAATCCACATTTTCTCCAGAACAGATGGATCAAGTGATTAAAAGAAATCAATGGATAGATTAATCTATATATAGATCAGTATACAGGTAATAGTGCACTCAAAGGCTGGATCACAAGTTATTTGCAATTATGTATCAATTTTTCAAGATAAACATTTAGAGGTCGGCCCATTTTTCTGAGATTTCTTCATCCTACTCATTTAATCCTTTCCTTGGTTGAGCTGTTTGAAATACCCATTCTTGTGCTTTACTTTTCAGCAACAGTAAATAGTTGATTTTCCACTCCGAAAGCATAAAAACATTCTAATCCTTTATAAGAAATAAGCCTTTATGTGTAATCATACTTGAAATTTACAACTTTTGTTCTCATTGTCAGTTGTCTATTGTCAATTTTATTAATTTCTGTTTGTCTTCTTTTTCTTCATTCCTGTTGAACATTGCTCCAGGCACAGGTAAGAATTCTACTAATTCTTAATAGAGCAGTTTTTTAAAAAACTGATTTCTGAGAATGTATTTCTTTTCTTGCTATTGTCTTTTATGTCATACAGAAAAAAATCACCTTTTTCATTATTTTGTTCTCTAGCTATTCCCTTTTTAGTTCCTAGCACAATTACCTGTGTTTTTACATTTAAATATCAAGGCCTGAGGGGAAAGGTGTGGAAAACAAGCTTCATGTACTCCCTTGACAAGGCAATGACACCCCTCATCGATGTTCTTGTGGTTTTCAAAGGGAGAGGACCAAGGGGCAGGAGGGCTGAAAATTCATATGTAGAGGTGCCCAGAACTGATTTGTCCTCACTCCAAAGTAAAAGATTAAAATGAAAGCCATGAAAGGATTAGAAAGAACAGCAGTTCCCCTTCAAATTTTCCCTTCCCAGAAGTTGTAGAGTAGTGTTTAATCCTATAATGTTAGCCCTGTTTTAATACAGCACCCAAAGGTGAAATCTGCTTGCTTATAGGAGTAACTGTAGTCTTATTCCAACAGTGCACACTTTTTATCCCTGTTTGGAATAGGTCCACTCTATTCACTTTACTTGAATTATTAGTCCAGTAAAGTTTGCACAAATAAATAACTTCAAAGAGCTACTTAAATCTATGTTTTCTGAAATTAGCTACATAAAACATTTGTGTGTGTGTATGATGGAAAATAAACTTGGACTTTCATAGATTATTGAAATAATTTTAAAGATTTTTCTTTAATGGTTGTGTCATCTTGGTTGCAGTGGATTATGATCTATTTTTTCCCTTTATTTTTTCTTGTTGAGAAAACAGCATAATTGACTCATTCCAGTAAAATGACTTAAACTGAAAGTCACACCCCACATGTGGGGTTGACAGCATTTATAGACACAGACCATAGACAATTTACTCTGTTTCATAGCTTTAGGCTATAGCTATATTATAATATGGAGTTAATTTCAGACCCTACTTCTAAGTCCTAAATGACCAATAATTAGTTTTAAAATAGCTTTATATCATATTATATATGTTTTAATTTAGTTTCCTACTTGAAAAACAAATTTTTTAAATTCCTATTGTCATACATATTTATCTGGAAAATGGGTCAAATTAAATTTATTCATAAAATACCTGTGCTCACATAATCATTTCATTCATTCTTTCTTTCTTTGGACAAATCTCTATTGAATGCCTAACAAATGAGTACTCTGAGCTAAATATTGAAAACACAAAGTTGTGAACAATGCAAATGGTCCAGAAAATTATATACAGTGCAGCAAGGGTCAGTGCAAGGAAATACACCTTTAATCTGGTCCAGTGAGTCAGATATATACTGATAACATAACAGCAGATAACAATGTAACACAGGCAGTCTATCTTTTACTACTAGAACTCTCAAGAAGTTCACTCATTGCTATTTTAGAGTAATGAACAATAGGGAGAGGAATAAAAGAACCTTAACAATGAAATAAGATTGTGCTGGTGTGAGAGTCCTCCCACCCTCTCTCTCTCTCTCTCTTTGAATTCCCTGAGATTCCTGAGAACGATGTGTGTTTCAGGTGTATGAGGTCGTCCCATGCCATAGTGACTGCAACCAGTACATATGGGTCACAGAGCCATGGAGTGTTTGCAAGGTGACCTTTGTGAATATGCGGGACAACTGTGGAGAAGGCGTGCAAACCCGAAAAGTGAGGTAAGGCCACACCTGATTCCACAGAGAAGCCACCTTCCAGCTTCACCTGTGCTGACGTGAGTGCTGACTCCGCTCTGGGCACTTGAACAACATTGTCTTTAGTTTTATTTTTAGAGAATCATGGTTCATGGTGATCTCTAAGAGGATCTGCTTCAACCAGCAGTTAGAGATATTCTTTTCTTAAAAGACTTCACTTCCTAACTCTTTTTTTTTTCACCTGTGAGACAAAGTGAGGTTTAAAAATATTTTATTTTTTTAATTAATTTTATTGGTACATTTTTGGTATACAATATGATGACATTCATCATTGGAAATTTGCACCTTTACATAGTCTCTCTTGGTTCTTATTTTTCACCCTTGCCCAGCCCTCCCTTCAACCCCTCCATCCCTCCCTACTTACAAAGTTTTTGTTTCCATGTTTTCATTTTCTCATATTAATTCCATTCGCTTCTTTCCCCTACCCCTTCCCTTCCCCATCTATTACACCTTTTAGTCCTTATTTACACTTTCAGTTTCTCACACTAGAGAAACTATTTGGGATTTAAACACGTGTGTCCTATTTTCACTTCCTAACTCTTGAAAAGCAGCTCCTAAAGCCCCTGGCTGACTTCTGCCCCTCACGTGTTATGTGGCTGTGTTCTCCAATGGGGTAGCTACTGGCCATATAAGGTTATTTTGATTCTAATTTAAACTAATTGAAAGTAAAGTTTAAAATGTATTTCTTCATTTCAAGTGCTCAATAGCCACAGTGGCTATTTTGTTGAAGAGAATAGATACAAAACACTCTTGCCTTTTTTTTCTTTTTTTTTTGGTACCGGGGATAGAACTCGGGACCTTGAGCTTGCGAGGCAGGTGGCAGAACCACTGAGCTAAACCCCCGGCCTTCACTGTTGTCTTGTATTGAAAAATCCACTTACATGTAGGTACGTTTATTGAACTCTGTAGGTTTCTGCAAGCAAAACTTGCTCGTATTCATAAGAATCCCCTAATGTCTAACACAAATTTGGTATGTGTTAAATTTTCAATATAGTCTTTGTCACATGACTCTTAAAGTTTCTAGAATCTGTGAAACAGGTGTTTGAGATTTTATCATCTATAGCTTGTACATTCCATTATTCCAATGTTCTAAGTAACATACTAGGAACACTCATCAAGAGTTGAAATTCAAACCCAAATCTGCTGATGTCTAATTATACTAGTTTCTTCTAATCTTGCTCAGTGACACAATAAAGACAAATTTAAAATAAAATCCAGAAATTGGCTACACATGTTATTAAGTTCAATCTTTCCTGTAACTTTTTCATAAATTTTAGATTGATGTTGCAATAGGTAAATAGAACAAATTAATATTTATATCATAAAATGTTTGCATATGAATGTATACATAACTTTATTTTTTAACAGGAATTTTCTATTTTTTTCAAAAGCCCATCTGAACTCTCAATTTATTTTTTTCTAAGGAACCTAATGAAGGTGGCCTAGACATGAAGAAGGTACAGGGACAAAATGAGTACATAGGGTGAAAGAAGAAAAAGATTCTGTTTTCTATCATAATTAAATATTTTCTTTTAAAAAATAAAAGAAATTATATCCCTATATTAAGAATTAGAATAATTTGGTTGTTTTGTTATTTTAAAAAATTTATAATTAAACACCTACTGATTTTTTTCATCTTTCTCTTCAACTATTATTGCTTCTTTTTGTTTTGTAAATATGTATTCTCAGCATTTATGAAAACACTTCAAGGAAAGTAACTGTTCAGATTAATTCTTTTTTAGTAAGCATCTTTGATGCCAGTAGACTGGAGAAGGTTAGCAATGATTGTGATCTCTGATCATGTAATAATATTTGTAATACACCTCTCTAACTTTATCTTGTGCTAATTACGGTCAAAATGTTCTGCTGAAATGCCAACATGGGTGATGTTTCAGGATAGATGTGTCTATAAAAGAGCAGGTTTAAATGTATCCAACCTCAGTCTTCCTCTTTGAGACCAGTGTAGCATATCAAGGAGTGGGTGGTAGTAGTAATTTGCCATTGATAGAAACCTGTATTTTTTCAGTGACATTTTTTAAGAATTGCCTATAGTATGATATTTTTAACTCTTTTGGGAGGAAATGCATGCATACCCATGTTTATAATAGCACAATTTATAATAGCTAGATCCTGGAAACAGTGTATATGTCTATCAACAGATGAATGGACAAGGAGAATGTGGTATTTAAACACAATGGAATACTATTGCGCCATAAAAGAAAGATAAACTTGAGGAATTCATAGGTAAATGGATGCAACTTGAGAACAGAAAGTTAAGTAAGTCAGAAACACAAGCTTAAATATCACATGATTTTTCTTTGTATGACAAACTCAAAACATATATATATCCAAATGAGGAACAAAATGGAAGATAGATACCTATGAAGTGGAGAGAGGTTCAAATGCTTACCCAAATTGCCTATTCCATTGTTTCAAAAATATTTTAATATATATGCTAATTTATTTCATTTATGTTACTAGTTTCTCTTAGTTCATTAAAAAGAAAGTTTTGTGCTAATATCTGTTTCTTCTTTGTATGAGAAAATCTTTTCTGTAGATGTCTTGTACTCTGAGTAACTACTTTGAAGATAATGATACACAGTGTATTAACTATTGTTGTTTTCTTAGTATTTTGCTCTACTGTATCATAAAATAAAATATGAAAAAGAATTACCAGCACATATTGACAATAAAAAAACAAATTTAGTTGCTGTTGGTATTGAATTTCCCGTGGACAATATACTTCGTTATTGCTACACCTATCGTGGACCCCTTGCCTCACCCTTTATCTCAAAATTTGTGCTAGTCTATTTACTTTTAATGCCATTCCATCTTCTCACAGCATTATTTTTGCTCATTGAAAGAAATAAAAGGTAAAACTTTGAAGAAAGCAGATGAATTTAGAATGCCTTCTGTTCGGGTCAACACTTGATCCAAATACTTCTTCTGTATTCTAGGGTGATAAATATTATTAATATGAAAGAAAATAAAACCACTTAGTAGGTTGTTTGCTCCCTATTTTATGCAATGAAAATGTATGTTTAAAATAAGAGCCTGTTAGAAATAAATAAAATCTGCTGAGCATTTCTGAGTGGTAAATATAATTGATATAAATGTATAATATTATCAAGTATATAAGTATAGGCTATATATTTTAATTATATAATATACATTCTTATTATTTGTTCTGATTTTCCGTAAATGAATTTGTGACTTGTATAATACAAAATTAAAATAAAAGGAAAAACTTTGAAAATGAACTTCATGCACATAACTACTTACTAGACATTGAATATCTGTTCTTAACTTGGATCAATAGGTAATTTTGCAACTTAATCCTTGTGCATTTGTCAGTACCTACCATGAATGTAATCTCAGAATTAAATCCAACTTCTGAGCAGGGAAATGACTTGTCTGCACATGTCCTCTTCAAGCTGGGGACAAAAGAACATTTTTTAAAATTCTCTTGCAGTAGAACTTTTTCTAGGAAACAAAATCCTCTCAAAAAGGTTATAGCCTGATTTTTTTTGGCAATGAAATCAGTAAATATCTACCTTTGTATGTTTTTATGACTGCTTTTTATATACAGAGTATATAAAAATGCAGAGGTAGACATTTGTATGGATATTTTTTCAGGCTACCAACCCAAATAGGATATGACCAATGGCACAATATTCAAGTCTTTGAATATATTCCACAGGAAAAGGATATTTCCCTTACATTTGTTAGCACTTTATAGAAATATGATTCTGCAAAATAAATTTGTAAAAATGTAATGTCCCTACTGATCATAAATCTCTTAGAAAAGTTGGGATTCCAGGTAAAATTGGTAACATAATTTGACTGACAGGTTAAAACATTGCAATGGTGTGAGAAACTTAAGAGTTTGAGCCTTCCTTTTCATTCACTCTGATGCTGTTCTCTTCCCAAACTTATTAATTTGGCTGACCTTTTCCAAGTTATAGATGAAGAATAAAGTTCTTTCTTCCACTACTGAAGAGTCCAGAGAGATTGTTACTATGGTAACAGGGAAGCCACATTAATTGAATTCCTAAGAGTTAGGTACAGAGTCCTTCATGACTGCTTAGAATAGAATAAATTGAATGCTAGGTTTCAATTTGTTCGGTTAAAAACAAAACTAGTGATTAAAAAGTCAAGATACAGGAAGATCCAAATAACCATATTTAGAGAATTTGTGTTATTATAATTTTCTTTTCACTTCTTGCTTTCTTTTCAGATTAGCAATAGATGGAAGCTGAAATTACTTTTAAAACAACAGAGAAAATTGATAAATGTCTCCAGTTATCTCTGAAAACACTTCATAAAATCTTTCATATAGGTATTATGATATGGCTAGTCTTCCATCATATGTGAATCATGTCAACCATCTCTACAGAATCCACTATTTTTGTAAGACAAACACAGCATATAAATCAAAATTGTAACATCTCTGTGAGTCTTTTTGGACCACCCTCATTAGTTGCTGCCTCATATGTGAATCTGAATGACTCTTTCCTTTCAGAAAAGCTCACCTGGAGGGCAGAATTTACATATATGCATATATTATGATCGTGCATGAAAGCATATATTTTTAAATCAAGCAGAAGCACTACAAGTATTCAGGGGAGACAGAGATCTTTTTAAGTATTCATTTTTGGAAAGTTATTCATTAAATGCAAAGCTTCCGGTCCTAAACCTAAGATGATGTAAGAAGAACCACCTATTCTATGGCTGGCCATTATTTTAATTGTTCGATTCTTTCACTGACATGTATTTTTTTCTCTAGATGCATGCAAAATACAGCAGATGGCCCTTCTGAACTTGTGGAGGATTACCTCTGTGACCCAGAAGAGATGCCCCTGGGCTCTAGAGAGTGCAAATTACCATGCCCTGAGGACTGTGTAATATCTGAATGGGGCCCATGGACCCGATGTACTTTGGTGAGATGATTAATTGTTTTACTAATATGTAGTTTGCTTGATTCTTTACCACTAAAGCTTTAGAGATATTAAGAAAAATGATAGCTTCAATGTAAAATCTGATGGTGAACCAAGTTTACCAAAGCAAAGTGTGTTTTCTTGGCCAATTCATTCTCTAACAGTACCATGTAAGGTCAGTAATGTTTCCTCTCACACTAAATGGCTCCACCTCTTGCAAGCCTTTTACCCCTAACTCAGAACACACAATGTCTTACAAATCCACAGCATGTTAAAAACTGCAGTGGCGATAAAGATCCCCTTCAAGAAAAGAGAAAATGATGGAAGCTCTAATAAAAGTGCTATAATGGTGCCAGTTTATTGTCACCCCTTGCTTTTTTCCCAATCCATTTTAAATAGTAGATGTAATCTTTCACACAGTGAGGGTGCTACAGCAGGAGTATTAACACTAAAAAGCAAACGATACTGGGTAAGAAACTGAGTAGAAAGAAGAGAGATCCACATCAGTGATTCTTCTTCCACACTCTGAGCCTGCAAAAGCACCTGAAAGTTTCAAAACTCAAGCTTCTGGATTTCAATAGCAGCAGGGGCTGTACCATGGCACTCTGGGAAGGGTATCACTTGAAACAGCACTGGCAACTTAGGAAATTTACTTATACTTGGCACCTCCATACATATGCATATTTCTAAAAGAGCATCAAAAGCATGAGGAAAATTTGTCTAATATGCTGAAATGAACTAAAGAGTTTTAAGAAAGAGTCTATAGTCTCTGTATTCTAAGGAGAAATTGCTTCAAAGACGTTGACTGGCATCTAAATAATACATCTGGAGCAAAATGGGCCTGGTATTTGACTTTAATACAGGTTAAAGTGCAATGAAAAACCAACTTTTTCACAAGAACATGTCTTAGTTACTTTTCTCATTGCTGAGACAAAATACCCTACATCCAACATTAAAGGAGGAAAGATTTATTTACCTCACAGTTTGTGGAGGTTTCAGACCATAACCAGCTGGCTCCAAAGCAGGGTGGCATGTCAGACAGGCATTGCAGAAGAGAAACAGGTGTGTCCTTGCTTGATTCCTATTCTTAGAAAACTAATGTTTTCAGAAGACTGAATCAGTCAAAGAATGGCAGGCAAGTCTTTTTAGGTATTAAATTGTGATGTGTGAATATATTTGTATGCATTAGGAAAATAAAAACCATGAATACCTAGATAGTTTTTAAAATTACTCTTGCAAAGATTTTTCTAGCGTAAAAGACTGCATGCATAATTTTACATATAAGGCATTAGCATTATACAATAGCAAACATGACTTTCAGTATGTGTTGGTGTAAATATAAGGTGATGTGTGAATTAGTGGTTGACACATAGAATCTTAAGCATCTTACAGCTAGATGAAACTTTAGTCTCAGCTAACACCTTCATGTTATACATGGAAAACTGAAGTATAATCAGACTAACTGACATGCCAAGTTAGCCAGTGCCATAAGCATTCTGACTCCTGCTCCAGCACTGTACCTAATGTCCTAGTTGTTGTGTGTCTGAGAATTCACCTTTCTGAGGCGTGGTATTGTTCTTTATAAGCCTTGCAATCAAAGCACTTCCAGGCAAAGATCAGCTGATCCCATCAGACAACCTGCTGATGAAGGAAGACCCTGCCCTGAAGCTATTGAAAAGGAACCCTGTAACCTGAACAAAAACTGCTACCACTATGATTATAATGTGACAGGTATGTGGAGAATCATCTCACCTCAGAGCTAAAGGCCAAATCCCATGTCTGTCTGCTCTGAGACACTCCCATCAGTATAGCTTGACTCCATCTGTTTATTTTTTGGACCTGGAGCTTATGCTCCCAGAAATAATTAGTTATTAAACAACAGAAACATTTATGTGTTCTATTTTTTAGCAAACTTCAACATATAGAGAATAAAAATCTCAACAGACATTGACCCATAAAGTAGGTTGTGAATATTCTAAGTAATCCTATTTGAAACATCACCCACTTTATAAAGATGCAGTAAAAAAAAATTTTTAATAAAGATTCCAAGTTTATTGAAACATATATTTCTTTTTTAGATATTTAATTGCCATCTCCTTGAGATAACAATTCTGAGGTGTATGAGTAGCTTATAAGTATGGCTAGTTTGTTATAAAAACATCAGCAGTCTTAAATTGCCCAAAGATTATAAATCAATGTTATAAAAGGTAAAGAAAAATACGTGAGTGTTTTTCAGAAAACCAAACTTATTATAAATTTCTTTTTACCCTAAAATGTATTTAATATTTTTCATACAACAAGAAAATATTTCATTGGTTTATATAATGTGGGACAACGTTAGCTAACGTTAGAATTTTTCACAAGTACAATGATATCACAGTCATATTGACCTTTTGTTTCTTTTGGTTTTTCCCTTCAATTTGTTTTTGGGACAGAAAGGAAGTCAAAGTATTCTGGGATATGCTGTGTTAGCTTGGATAAAAGATGAAAAAATTGTTTTGCAAAAAAATAAAAGAATGAAATAATATGCCAAAGTTATTTTTGAAATAAGTTTGTATTTAAAGCATTATAAATATAGATAATTAATAAAATATGTACTTTTATTAGAATATGAGTATATAAAGTACCATCCATTAAAATTACGGTAATTTTGTGAAAAGATAAATAATGCTAAAATTTTTATTCTACTTTTATTATAAAAAATGCCTAAGTGACATTGATCTCTAGGCCCAAGTCATTTTTTCCAATATCACCAAACGGCTAGCTATCAAGATTGTCAACTAGACATCTGCCTTGAAGAATAATCCCTGAAGCTATGTGCAACCCGAGCAATTCCATTTGATTCCTGATATGTTCAAAGCTGGGACCCATATGCTCTGCATGTGGGATGATTGATTGCAGGGCTTACAAAGCAGTTTTGAATTAAGTATGGGATTCAGGTCATCAGAGTTTCATTTGAAATCTGTTTCATGCGTAGCCTTCTGTTCCGATGGGCTCCTTTCCTTTCAGACTGGAGTACGTGTCAGCTGAGTGAGAAGGCAGTTTGCGGAAATGGCATTAAAACAAGAATGTTGGACTGTGTCCGAAGCGATGGCAAATCAGTGGACCTGAAATATTGTGAAGAGGTGGGTGGGTGCTGTTTTACATCTTTGTGAGTAAATTTTTCCCTAATAATTTTATTTCATGTTAAACTTATTGACCTGTGTGCAGCTCATCACAGCAGATGTTTTCTGCACTATTCACAAGCCACTTAGTACCCTCTTGAAAAAAGACAATATCCGACACTACTGATTTCCACATGTAATTTCCTGTATTTTGTTCTCCTTGGAGCCCAAAGGCATGCTAATTAGCCCATTCCCAAAGAAATGTTTATGAAATAATGAGTAATCAAGGTGAATAAAGGCAATAAATCTTAATCAGACTACTCATCATCTTTTGTAATTCAGAGTTTTTGTAGTGCCTGGGACACCTACCAAAATCCCTCATTTATTCTCTCTGTTGTTAAACATTGATCGCCTATGGTTTGGTAGCAGATTTTGATATTAAGAGCTAATATGTGAGAGTCCAAGTGCTCAGGTCTGGATAATACAGCTTGAAATTCAAACAAAGAAATAAAATCTGCTACTATTACTTTTGGGGTAAAGAAAATTATAGTTGTTAATTCTCTTATTGAAAACTGTAATGTCACCATTCCTAGATATGACCTTTGGTACAGTGAGAAAAAATGACCTTCCTTAGTTTTCATGAAGCTACACTTCATGTTATAATAACCTTATCTGATTGCCATACCAAAAATGCACTCACATTCCTGACAAGTTTTGCTCTGGGTACATCTGAAGCCCACTGGGTCCAGTTCAAACCAACATAAGCAGAAGCTTCAATAGATCTGGAGTAGTCCAAGAGGAACTTATAACCTCATTGAAGAGTCCAGCAGATATGGCCACCACAAATTATGTCTGCAGATTTTGGGTATTAATATAACCCCAGAGTAAACTGTCCTAACTCCTAAGAAAAATTCTAGATGGAAATATTTTAATCCATTTGATATCTTCAGCATGTGCACTTAACTTCCTTAAATTTGTGTTCATGGGAGCAGAGCTCTCAAATGTGCTGAAAACGTCTAGTTGTTTAGTTAATAAATCCCTCCCACTGTAATCTTACAACACAATTTATTTTATGCTTACTTTAAATTTAAATAATTTAAATTTCACAGCTAAATCATTTGGGTTTTGAAGATAATAACATTGAAGTAGTATAACCATTATTCAAATATCATTATTATGAATGGAGATTATTATAGTCATATACTGGCTGGAGAGCTTTCTGGGATCTGCTTCTAGTTGATTAATATGGCCTCTATTTTGCAAATGCACAGATAAATGCCATCCTGGACCAGAATTAAATAGAAAATGAGTAGCTCTGAGAGCATTTTGAAAGCTGAACCCAAATCATACAAGACCAATATTCAACTATTTTGTATGACTAAAGTACTAAGGCATAAATAGGATCAGAGGTTTCTTAACTAGAATAAAACCTATGAAATATCTAATTTCAATTATTTTAGATCCAAGATGTTTACCCTTAAGTGAAAATACCATATTTGAATACTGCAATAACAATTAGAGATTCACATTCCAACATTCTGGTACTGTCTTTAGTAGAATGGTGTTACTTTCATAGGGATTTGGATCAAACAGCTTACTTCCCATTTTATTCATTCTACTAGATCTGCAATAGCTTTCCAAGAAAAACTAGGCCATCTTTTTAAACAGTGGACTGATTGCCTACCTGCTAATACATGTGCAAACCCTGCATTTACAGCAATAGCAGTAGGTAACTCTTGCTGCTTCTCTAATAGACCCAGAGAAAGATGTCATTACTGCCCCACAAAGAAAAAAAATGAAGGTTGAGCCCTAGTATTTATATAGTATTTTTTTCCTTCAGTGTTTTTCAGAAATTTATTCACCTGATACCTAGGAATTCATTTCTCCTTTCCTATTCTTTGAACCCTAAGTAGATTTCCTTTAATTAAGACTAATATCTTTTGCTAAATAAATGGATAGGTAGATAGCCAGATAAATATGAAAGTGACTAAAAAACCACAATAAATGTAAAAAAGTAGAGAATTAATGTGTCTAATTAGTAGATATCCAAGATATCTGTAAACATATATCCTCTTTCACTCTCTAAGTTGTAATAGTTGAATTCTGTGATTCAAGCTCTCTATGAATCCATCATTTACTCTAAATGTAACACATTATTTTAATCAAATCATTCTAAGATTCTTATAAGCAACCTCCCATGACTTTTATGAGTTAAAATAAAGATTTTTTATAAGTAAAAATACAGATTTGGCAAAGTGATGATTGGACATAAAACATTTTCTATATAAAAGAATATGTGTTATGTTTATTTTAAATGAGGAAAACATATTTTTTATAAAAAGGACAAGTGTGATATGGTAAAAAAATAATTTTATCCTAAATACTCAGCTGTCAAGTATTCCCATAGTAGAATGTAATAGAAGTGCCTAGGAGGGAAGTAGTCCAAAAATCAGGATAAAGATGAAAAATATATATATCACAATTCCCTACAATGAATGCATTTAGTGTGTACCCCAGACATATACTAATAAAAAAGGGAAGAAGAAAAAATGTGTATGCAATAGAGAATGCAGTTAAATAAGTTTGTATGCCCCTATTTTAAAAAAAAAAAAACACCAACAGTATAAACATATGCAATGTGTTGTATAAAAGCCATTGATCTGATCATCTCTCAATGAATAGCTTAGAGCAAAGAACTATAATTGAAGCACAATATAATGGTTCAGAAAATTTTTCTATTGTTATCTTCTGCTGTATAAATTTAAAAATATAAGTTTCTCTTTCATATAGAAACAACAAAGGCCTTTAAAATCCCAAGAACTACTAATATAAAAATGTTATTCTTCCATCAAGCTCTTAAATTTTTCCTATTTTAATGCTACTTTGTACCTTAGAATTTTTATGTTAGAATATTCAATAAATTAATTTGAAACCTCTACTTATATTTTTTAAGTAGGACATGTAAGCTATATGCAATGAATCCTAAATGTCAATAAAATGGCACAATTATTATCTGATAAGAAGCTTAAAAACAAAATAACTAAATTTTACTACAGTTATCTGCTGAGATCAGTTTTAGAAAAGAAAATGTTTGTTTAAAAAGTGCATATAAAGCATTCATCATCAAAAACACCCAGAGGAGCTACATTTCTTTTTGAGAAAGACAGTTAAAAAACTTTGGCGGGCAGAGGAGGTAATGAAGGTTTTGTGAATGTTAAGCACACTCTCAACAATTAAACTTCATCCTTAGCCCCCAAATTGACATTTTATATTATTTCATCGCATTATATCATTAGTCTTGAGTGGCTGTTTGTCTTAAAACCTTTCCCTTTTCCTTTTCTGTTTAACATGTAAAAATAAATAATATCCTGAAGATACAACTATGGGTCTATATATTAATTATATTCTTCCCTTTGAACCAACAGAGAATAATTATACTTATACTTATTTTCCTCATTTAGGGAAATATAACCAGTTTGGAGATTAAATGCATTTTTCTCATTGTTTACTAAAACTTATTATATAGCACTTGAGTATATACAATCAGCAGCCCTTTCACTCACCCAGTAAGTACCCTTGGCTGCAACTCTCCTGGGTTGAGCCATAAAAGTTAGGATATATGCTAGTTTGGATCTCTTGTGCTCCCCTCTCCCCTTCTCTCTTCACCTCTTTCCTCTCCTCCCCTCCTTCCCACTGACAGTACATCCTCAATAGATCTCCCTCTATCTTTTCAGCTTGGCCTTGAGAGACACTGGCAGATGAACACATCCTGTGTGGTGGAATGTCCTGTGAACTGTCAGCTGTCTGACTGGTCTCCTTGGTCAGAATGTTCTCAAACATGTGGCCTCACAGGTTTGTTTGTACCACAGTTAGCATTAGGCTAGTTGTCAAGATGTATAAAATAAAATATCCTTCCTTCAGTCATATGAGATAACCTTCAGAAAGCCGAGATTGGGAGTCTTTCTTTCTAAAACATGGGAGCTTTATTTATTCCTGGGTCTCCTTAAGAGAGATCTCTGTGCTCCTCCTCCCACTAAGATATCTGCCTGCACAACCCTAGCATACCACTGAAGTCACATCACTTTGTATCTCTGAAAGGAAAAATGATCCGAAGAAGAACAGTGACCCAGCCCTTTCAGGGTGATGGAAGACCATGTCCTTCCCTGATGGAACAGTCCAAGCCCTGCCCAGTGAAGCCCTGTTATCGGTGGCAGTATGGCCAGTGGTCTGCGTGCCAAGTGCAGGTACCAAATCTCAAGAAGTTGTGTGAACTGTGTGCGACAGAGACTTGTTTTCAGAAACATTTTTCAGCACTGATAAGCTTTAGGTTCCTGCTTAAAGATTTTAGTTACTTTGCTATTTTGCAACCATTTCATTAGTTTTGAAAATAAACACTCCCTGTCCTGTACTTTTAGAATTATTTGGAGACCAATTCATTTTAATGAAAACTTATTTGCTGTCTTTGGCTAGAAAACAAATAAATTGTTCAGTGCATGCTTTATAGCTTGTGTCCTATAAGACTTCTTCCCTGGGGTTTCAAATGGTTCTTTAACGGTTCATAAATCAAAATCAGTGATGCAGAGATGACTGTAAGTGATGAGCTCCCCGATGAATTATTTTCCTTTTCCTAATTAGTCATTTCTTCCTCCATTCCAGGAGGCCCAGTGTGGAGGAGGAACCAGAACAAGGAACATTTCGTGTGTAGTCAGTGATGGGTCAACTGATGATTTCAGCAAAGTGGTGGATGAGGAATTCTGTGCTGACATTGAACCCATTGTAGATGGTAATAAAAAAATGGTTCTGGAGGAAACCTGCACCCAGCCTTGCCCAGGTAACAACAGCAGAACAGAATCTAATTTGATGATTTCCTCCCAAGGCCAGGGTCAAGGTTTTGCAGATATAGGTAAGTTAAGGGATGTCAATCTTATGAGTAGTCCTCTACCAGAAGCTGGACACCATGCCTGTGGGTAAACAGGGCACTGCCTCCTTACTGCACATAGGGTGGAGTCAGTCTCTCATGGGGCCTCTCTTAATATCCCTTGGGAGTCTTATCATTTGCAGAGGATGTGAATTAAGGCCTTTAGGCTTTGGTCTCACATGGAAAATATGGCATAGAAGTTGAGAAAATCACCCTTGGACTTAATCCATTTGGTATTTCCAAGAGAAAATAGAGAATGAGGGACAGGCAATGTTCAAATACATAAGGCTAAAGAAGATGTGAATTTTTTTTTCTTTTGTGGCTGGCTTTCACTTAGCATGTTTTTTCAAGGTTCGTTCACTTTTTAAATTTGTACATTCTTATAATGAAAGCTTACTTTGAATCCTGGACAGAATCAACAACAAATTCACACGTACAAATGCTACAGTTAAAGCATAACATGGAGAAGCAGTAAAGCATTTAAAAAACAGTCAACTGGGCCTGATAGTGCACACCTGTAATCCAGCACTCTGAGAGGCTGAGGCAGGACTTGGGTAAATCTGAGCCCAGTCTTGGCAATTTAATGACTAAGCAAGACCTTATATCAAAATACAAATACTTTAAAAAAAGCTGAGGGTGTAGTTCAGTGTGAGCACACTATGTTCAATCCCTAGTACCAAAAAACAAAAACAAAAAAGAAAGAAAAGATCAGATTACCTCCAACTTGAAGACAAAATAATATGAGATTGTAGAAGAAAATATTGAATGATATTATTCAGAATCAATGGTAGACAAAAGAAGTGCAGGATATAAAATGGAGAAAGCAAATATTTTACATTAAATATTATAAAAATATTGGAAGACAAGATAGGCTAATATTTAGGAACTTCAGCTTAATGTAGAGAATTGCAGGGGCAATTTTAAGCCAAAAAACAATAAGAAACACACTCTTAGGAAAGATATTTGGGCATATATTTAGTTTGTAATAGATATGAAGTGAACAAAACTGGAAATGAATTAACTATTTTATTCAAAAATAGGAACTTTTTATTTTCCAATTTCCTTATAAGTAAGAAAAATGTGTTTCTTTTGAAATATATTCTTTTGAATAAGACCTCAAAAAAGTAAAAATAAAAATTTGGCAAAGTGATGATTGTGCATAAAACATTTTCTATATAAAAATATGAGTTATGATCATTTTAAATGAAAAAATATATTTTTATAAAACTATAAATGGGATTGACACTTTAAAAATAAAAAACCTGATAACATGGACTACCCAGCCGCTTATGCCTCAATTTATTCATTGCTTAGTACATAAATTGAGATAATTATAGTTTATTATTTATTGTTAAGATCAACTGAATGAAATTGAATAAAGCAGTAAGTAAAATAACCCAGTACTTTGAATTATAGGTTAGACATCAAGGTCATTCAATTGTTGTGATGGTCTTTGCACACACAAATACTTTTGTTTACATCAGGTTAATATATAGACAATTGAAAAAATAAAAACCTGAATAACAACCTTTATTCACTGGGTATAGTTTCAGTTATGGACGCTGAATAAGCCCTAGAGATCTGCTGTACAACATTGTGCCTGTAGTTAACAATACTGTATTATACACTGAAACTTTTATTAAGAAGATAGAGTCATGTTAAATGTTCTTAATAAAATAGGATCTGGCTTTTAGAGTTAAACAATGTGTTTCTTAGTCTCGCAATTTCCAATAAAAACTGATCCATGAATTCATGGACCATTTCCTGTCCTTGAAGCTGGCCTGGTCTCAGTCAAAAGCTTACACACCATTCAACTTAGTAAAATCATTGAGTTAAAGTAGATCACTATTGTGACTGTGGCAGTAGGTGAGGGCTTCGGGGCATGATTAAGGGCTGGACTTGTGGACTTTGATGTGTTGAACTGCCACACAGTCAACAAAAAGTGTCCAAGTCTAAAATGTGGAGGGCCTACCAATTCCAAAACCAAATGCCCTGCATCAATCGTAGACTCATTATGTTATCTACCATATTGTTCAGAACTGGCCTTTTTCCTGGGAACTTGGGTATGCCTTTCTGTGGATACCCATTACATATTTTCATTGTACTTCCCACAGCACAGTCACTCATTCCCTTGATCTTTATATATCGGGGGTAATTATGGGACAGGTACTGGACTTGTGGTTGGAAATACAATGGATGACAAACTAACCCTGTTCTCATAGAGCTCACTTTCTAATGGCAGAAACAGTTAATAATCTAATAGTGACATAAATAAGCATAAATCATACGCTGTCGTAAATATGTAAAAGAAAACTACAAGGCACCATGATAATGGTGAATATAACATAGATCCTATTTTAATTAAAGTAACTACAAATCAAGAAGGGAGCTGCTTTTTCCCATATAAATTATATTAATTATATTCATTTAAGTTCCTCTCTTGCTAGTTTTCTCTAATGATAGGTTTGAAAAGCTAGCAATATGTGAACTTATAAGATTTAAAGAATAGAATGTTGAATTAGGGAATACATTTCATGCATTTAATTGTTGCGCCTTTGGCAGACGTGATGTAGTTTTATTTTTATTACAATAGTTTACATGCTCAAATGCATATAAAAGTATGCACAGTACAGCCTCACTGTAATTTGTTATTATTAAATCTCTGAATTTTGACTTGCATTATTTTGGGATGATAATTCTATAACTCACAGACTGTCACTAAAAGATTTATTGAGTTTTCTTGCAAAATACATGATGTTAAATGAGAATAAACACAGAGAAGAAACCTTCTAATAAAAGGGTACATCTTACTTTCATGTAGTTTGCGATCACCAAGGTGAAGTTGTACTACATTCATGTTGACAGGATATTTTTATTTTAACTTTAATTTTTCCTGAATACTTAAAAACTGAGTAGCCCAAATGTGGCATGTCCTAGATGATAGAAGTGTTTCTTAAACTTTCTTAGAATACATCAAAGGTCAAGGATTTAGCTCAGTGGTTCAGGTGCCTGCCTCGCAAGTTCAAGGTCCTGAGTTTGATCCCTGGTACCAAAATAAAACATTAAAATTTTTTAGTTTCTTTTTTCTTTCATTTCTAAAATTTACTAGAACATTTTATATCATCAGTAATGCTAATGATTTCTCTAATAAAAATCTACAAAAATCACTCTGCTATCATACATGTATCTGTCAGTCAATATTTTATACATTATGAGGATTTCTTAATCAGGATTTCCTAGTACAAAACATTTTTTCCATTAATCAGATAATATTAGCAATATTAATATTAGTAATCTTCAGCATAAAATAAAGCAATATGACCTATTCATGTGATTTGGATGAAATGATAGTATCTTCTAATGGACTTGGGTCCACCATTATAGCTGTACATACTGAAACATATCACCAAGTAGTCTGTCCTGAAGAATGAATGGGAATGTGGAAAAGTAAATTTCATTAGATCTTCCCTATTCTCAAAATGTTTAGAGATGTTGAACATATAGATACACTATGGCCTAGAAGTTCCACTCACATGTATATTCCCAATACAAATATATATGGGGATATGTACATGTCTATCAAAGACTTGTTCTAAAAGATTCACAAAGCACTATTCATAATAGGGAAAAATTATCCTGTCTATATGCCTATCAATAATAAAATGGGTATCTAATTTGTAGTATATTCATACAAAAGTCCAGCAATAAGAATGAGCACATTAAAATTGCATTAATATATGATAGTTCTCAAGGACATAAATGAGTGAAAGAAGGTAGACACACAAAAATGCATATAGTATTCACATAACATGGCAGGGGCTTCTGAGATTCTGGGATGGTTCTGTCCCTTGATTTAATGTTGATTACATGGATACAAAATAACATTGTGACAATTCAGCTCTCTGCATTTATGATACATATTGGTATTTCATGTACGATGTATTACTCTTCAGTAAATATTTAGTAAAGATGAATGATGTAAGATGTATATCAAAGAAAATAGCATCATTTCTACTACTGCAGCTGCTCAGCTTGCTGTCTTACCTCAATATTTCTGAGAAGACATAGGAGTAAAACATAAATAACCAGCTTTCTTAGCCTTGGACTTCATACTGCTTTGAAATTATGAATACCTAGAAGACAATAGACCCCTTTATGATGCTATACAAGAAACATGTGTGTCTTGACCAACCATCTCTTAGGAGGTAATCATAATGGGAAAGCTCCTTCAAGTCACAGTTATATTTTATATCATTAAGCAAGATATAGCAAGTACTCGCCACTCAGAAAGTAACAATAGTTATGAAAACTTTTTAAATTGTTTATACATTTGAAATTATTAGATGCTTATCTAAATTTTATAAATATTATCTATGAATAGCATACCTGCAAGCATTCCTAGTGCAATTAGAATTACAATGAGTATTTGCTTGGCCATTCTCCATGGGTCTGGGTATGAACTACCAATTTATGGTTTTCAGGGGACTGTTACTTGGAGGACTGGTCTTCATGGAGCCCATGTCAGCTGACCTGTGTGAATGGGGAGGATCTTGGCTTTGGTGGAATACAGGTCCGATCCAGAGCAGTGATTATACAAGAACTAGAGAATCAACATCTGTGCCCAGAACAGATGTTAGAAACAAAGTCATGTGATGGTGAGTGTCTACACCTCAGTAAATCTATTCATTTTAGTTTTGTGTCAATACACAAAAGCATAAGATACTTTTCAGCTGGGTGTGATGGAACATGCCTGTAATCCTATCTACTGGGTAGTCTGAGGCAGGAGGATTGAGAGTTCAAGCCAGCCTGGATAACTTAGTGAGATCCTGCCTCAAATAAAACATAAAATAAAAAGGATTGGGGTTGTAGGTCATTGGTAGATTCCCTGAGTTCACTCTCTAGTACTACAAAAAAAAATATTTTTTTTCTATTAAACAAATTTTCTAAAGTCCTACTTAAGGTTGAGAATTAAATTAATAGTAACATTCTGAATTATAAAAGTTTAGAAGAAAAATCCTGTCACCCATAATAAATTAGACATAAAATATGGTACGTTTCCCAGATTTATGAGCTAAAGAAGGCTGAGATAATTAAGAGCACACTTTACACTTGTAACAATAATCATGCGTGAATCTAACAATATTTTCCATTTATTTAAATCAAATGACAAGATAAAAGAAAACTTACAAACCCACAGTAAAATAGGAAACTTTACTATTCGCAGAAATTGATAAATCAAATTGTTGCTAACGATTAGCAATTTTAAGGTAAAATAATCAATATGTGATATGCAAATATATCAAGAACCCCAATTATATTACTAGCATAAACTAATAAAAAAGTTTAAATAAAATAAATTTGCGATTTTAATTTTAATATAATTTGACACCAAACATATAAGTTCATGTATGTTGTGTGTCTATGTATGTGTACTATTCATTCAATATGGAGAATATGGGGCTCAACAACACTTTCATTCCTATTTGTTCTGAAACAATTAAGAAGTATAACATACAATGCTATTGAGGATCCAAAATATCACCTTTATACCAAAAAACTGAAGAAGAGGGCATAGAATGTCAAAGAACGCTTAGAATGAAAACCAAATGAGGGGAATGGAATTAATATGAGAAAATGAAAAATGGAAACAAAGTCTTTGTAAATAGGGAGGGATGGAGGGGTTGAAGGGAGGGCAGGGGAATGGGGAAAAATAAGAATCAAGGTATATTATGTAAAAGTACAAATCTCCAATGATGAGTGTCATTATATTGTATACCTAAAATGTACCAATAAAATAAAAAATCCAAAATATCTACAAAGAAAACTAAAGGGAATTGATGACTCAACCCCCACAAGTAGATAAAATTCCTACTCTGTCAATTTAATCTTCATAATTTCTCAACCAGATGAAGCAACCAGATGTCCAAAAACCTGGGACAGACTAGCTAAAGGGATAGAACCAGCTTGATGCTTATAATAAATAATTCCCCAGGAAAGAAAGAGAATTGTTTATCCCAAATGACAGGAAAGTAACATTAGAAATCAATATCACAGTAGTTGCACACTCAAAATGTCCCTTCATGCATACCCAGAACCTGAAAACTGCACTTCTACCATGTTACATATCAAGCATTATGTGGAATATAGCAAAGAAGCACTTAAAAGAAAACCTAGTCTTAAATGCTTACGTAGGAGGAAGAAAAGTTAAAAATGAGCTATGTTTCAATTCTTTTTTATTGCAAATGGTTTGAAGAAGTAGAACACAACCAATATATATGAATACAAACTCAGTAACAGATTAACAAAGTAAATCACCTTGTAGAAAATCAATGAAGAAAAACAGAGCAAAGCCAGCACTACTACATATAAAAAGTTTAGAAAATATAATAGAGGTGTATAGTTTTTGCTGAAAATGTAAAAACTTAAGTGAAGATAATGTACAGAATATTATAACTTATCAAGACGGATAGAAAAGCTACATAGCTACACCATGAATTCTATAATCATTAAAAATCAAATATATGCACACATATGCACACAGTCAAAAACCTGAAGGGGTTTAATTATGTTTTACCAAAAGTTAAACAAACAGATGACTTTTATTTATATGAAATTCTAAGAAAATACCAATAAATTAAGTGGGAAAAGAAAAGTAAGGAAAATCTCCTGAGCTCCTGTGATACTATAACCTTGACATTGAAACTGGTCAATTAAATAAAACTACCCATGATAATAAATGTCAAATCCTATAAAAATGTTATATAACAGAACAATAATGTATTTAATACATAATTAATATGATTAGTTATAACATTCTATAAATACAAATTTACCTAAATATTAGAAAAATCTATTATAATTCTACATGTTAATAAAAACAAAAAGGATATGAGTTTTAAATGCATGTCGCAAAAGTGCAGAACTCCATCCTCATTTACTAAAAAAAGTGCAAGACAAACTTAAATTAAAAGGAAAAAGTTTACACTAAAAATTTATGATACTTTATCAACAAATATTTGGAAGTAAGAAGAGAGTTAAACAGTATATGATTTAAAAGCTGATATACAACTGAGTCTTACTTTTACCAGGAAGACTCAGTTATAAAATTATGTTAACTATAAAAATATCACTGTACCAGTAAAAATAAGTCTGACAAAAAGAGGTAAGTTACATGAGGAAAAATTATACAGTTTTATTGAAAGGAATAAAGAACTAAAACATTGATAAACTACTACAGAATCATGGATAAAGATCTTCAATATCAAAATATCAATTTTATATAAATTTAGCTATAAATTCCATGTGATATGAGCAGATAGCTAAAATAATTTGAGCAGTAGATCTTAATACTAATTTGGAAGGATTAAAGACCAAAAAAGCCTTAAGAAGAGGAAATGAGAGAAATCCATTGACTTACATAGCTTTGTGTCAAGACTGATGTCATAGGTTTATCTCAATGTTTAGTTACAAAGAATGAACATTAATAATGAAATAATTACAGTAATGAACCAGCATAGAGAACCTCAGGAATGAATTCTCACATATAGGTAAATGAGAGAGTGAAAGTAGAGAATAAGTGGATGAATAATGTTGCCATAATTTTTAATCCATGCAATGTTTTCTGAAGTACCCTTAGCACACATAATATAAAACTATATTTCAGGTAAACTGTTGACCTAAAGGTAAAGAACAAAGCTGTAAAACATTTAAAGAAAATATGAAAAATGTTTTTATGAACTCACAGTCAAGAAGGATTTTCTAAATATTTGTAAAGACTTGTAAAGACTTGTACACTCAGAAGACATGAATATATATACCATGAAACAACAATGAGTATCAGTTACATGAAACCTTTTGTCCTTTAATTTTGTTTTGTACCAAGAACATTTTAAATAAGACCTTGTTTTCCCACAGAAAACTTAGACCATGACCAATGTATACAAATCACAATAATATGTTTAACAATGTATTTCCCACAAGGCTATGGAAATTATTGGGGTCCCCTTTGTGAACAAAGGCTGGAATAAATTTTTCCAGGCAGCCACTCCTTTATTTACCAATGGGAATCCTGCCCCATAGTTTTTCTAAGCCCAAGAGTCTTTATTTAATTATCTTAGCAAATTTTTAGATGACCTGTGACAGCCAGATCATATCAATTAACATATTTTTTTACCAATGAAAGATTCCCAATACTATATATAGACAACAATATGTACTGTATTTGTAAAACCAGTTGACATTATTTGGATAATCTGGCAACCTGGGGGAAGCATATCTTTAATTATATTATCTGTAAGCCAACTTGAGTTACAGGGAAACATCTTTAAAAATCCAAAATACCAAAAAAAGCTTAAACATAACAGCTGTACGTGTTGTAACTAAGTGAACAGACAGACACACACATAAGACAACTTGTCTGTAAACCAGAGTACACTCAGATGTATTTGGCCAAATTGAATTGCAATAACTTTTACAATTTTAAGTTTATAATTATAAAAAAGACTAGTCAGAACTTTGTACATCAATTAACAGAGACCTCTTGTAATAAGAATCAAAAGGAATAAAAATCTTCTACACCTGTGAAAGCAAAAACAGTTTTAAGATGGTCCCTAAGATGACAGCTTAACTGATTGTAATACCCAACTATACAGGCTTCTCATTGTTGCTTTCATAACCATAGTTGTTGGATAGCCACATGTAATTGTTCCCTCTAAAGGGACAGACTAGTAAAGGTAATTTTAACTATCTCCAGTGGGGGTCCGCTCAGGCCGGGTTTCCATGTAGAAGAGACTAGGTGACACTCTTTGAAGCTAAGTATGAATTTCAAGTAGTGAAGGAAGAAGGCCTGCCAAGGCTCCAACCTGCTGTGCTGCAGATGTCTACCTATGACAGTTTTTCCCATTTTAAAAAGCGACAAAGGGAAAGAAAGTATCCCTGTCTATCCCTCTTGTTCTGTGCCCAATCTAAGATGTCCCTTAGACTTTATCTTATCCAGTGGTGGCAGACTAAAGGTGCAAGGAAGTGGCCAGAGCCAGGTTAGCTATTTTTATCATTTTCTAATTTTGCCTGAGGGCTGAAATACAGATAAATCTGACCTAAAACTTTTACATTTATTTTTTGAGAGTTTTAGGATTAAACCTAGACCGGTTTTCTATATGGCCCAGAGATAAATGAAGGTCAGCTTTATTCTAGAAGGATTCCAGGGAGGGGAAACTCACCATTCTGGAAGCTTTTTCTTGAAGTCCAGCAGCCACTGAAGAGGGAAGTGCCTTGAATCAAACTGCGTTATTTCTCAGGAGCAGGGCAATGGAGAAGGGACAGAGGAGTGTCTTTAAGTATTACACAAGAACTAAATCTTAACCATCTCAGGTGTAGAAGAACAATTAAGATCAGGAGCTTTTCCAGAGTGGATCTGCAATCCCTAGCAAAATATGTCTCCAAAGACAAAAGCTATGATTGACTCCAACTGAATTGCGAAGCAGGCTGCTTTTTACCTCTTGAAAGAGAATGAGTGTTCTAACTGTATTGTTTAGGGCTTATCCTTTTAATAAATTACTCTGAGTCTATAATATTTAATTTATTATTTAAGTACCCTACAGGCTGTTGAGCAGGTCCCTGATCTTGTAGAAAGACTCCCAAAGCCATGTCTCACCTT